AGTGGAAAAAGTTCCTTGTAAGATACTAGTTCACTCGCTGTTACTAGACATGTTTCAAGTGGAAGTAATAGTCATCCAAAAGAAAAAGTTTAAAAAAATAGTCATCACTCTTTACAGGACCTCCTTGGAAAGCATGTCTAACTTTCCCACCTCTCTGAATAATTCAGTTGCTGAGAAAATTCAGGCTCTGAGAAAATACTTTTGGAAGATGGTCTCTGATTTGATGAAGTTGGACCTGATGAATATGAACCTATTATAAAAGCTTCCCCCCATAATTCTTCACACAATATATGTTTGAAAAATCATGTTTCTTGACATGACTTTGAGGAATCGGGCTCTTTGACAAATAACTTTTATCCTGTTATTCTTTTTCTGACAGTTAATTTATTCCTTTGAAGACACTATTTACTTAAGGAAGCATGTAGTAAAATGATATATAAATTATGGAATAGTTATTTCAACAGTTTGCTTAAATTGAGAAAAATCTCTAGGAACAGAACTTTTAATTACACTTTTGTCTGGCTCTAACACTCAGAAAAGGTAATCTCTGATGTTTGTATAATTCTGGAACTTGAAGTCTCATTTGTCCTCTCCCATATTCCTCATTTATCATCTTTTGGAGAATAGAATTGTTGAGTCCACGGAATTGAGGACTTTGATTAGAAAGTGGTCATTTGCTTCAGAAAGCAAATGTTGTGTATTTGCTTCTGCGTTTGTCTCATAATTTGAAACTATTCTTCAGCCAAAATGTACCCCTCAGTTGACATTATCTTTTAGAAAGCACATTTGCTCCGTTTGATACACCTGTAAGTCATCCACATGTAATTTCTCAAGAAACAGAAAAGCATACTAATTAACTTAAAATATTCAGCTCCTTCGACAATTCCTCTTTGCAGAGATATGAGTGTGCATTTAAACTTATTCACTCTGTTTAATTGGAGTTCATTTTAAATTAAGCAGCTTTGTACTTTTTCTTATCAGCTAAATGAAGATCGTGATTTTTGTGCTGCATAATTTGTGACGAAGAATTAAATATAGCCACAGAGTTGACGAATATCACATCTTATCACATGTAAAGAAGTGCTTGGCAGCAGGCCTTAGGGGGAGAATGTTACATTTGAACCCATTTTTTAGAAGAGACTGCTGAAATTATCAGTTGTAAGAGCACTACTGAGGAAGCAACAGTTTATGGCCTCCACGGCTACTCTTACTCTTAGAAGTTATGCCATTTTTCTCAGCACCTGAAGAGCATTTGAGAAGGGAGGAGAGTAGACATTTTCCCCAATATGTTCTGTTTTGTGACTATAGTAGTAAGAAATAGAGTTTTGAAATGCCATATAATTAGTCCAAATTTCTAAAGAAAATATAATGAATAAACGTTTGCACTAGAATTATACTTTGGAGGAGAGCGTTTTCCTTTTCCCACGTTTAAGATGAATGCATTGGACCTTGTGTTGGAATACNTGAAAAAAAATGTCAGTTGCTGGATATCCTGTCTGTTTAGTGTCATCATGAATAAACTCAATGACTGCCAAAACACATTCAAATTAAATTTTTTTGTAAATAAAAAGGGGCAAAGAAAGGTCATAAAATGAGTCGACATGGAGCCACTCTCATTTACATGACCTGCTTAACTTCAGAGTTGGCTTTCTAGCATGACACAATGCTTAAAAGGCAAGGTTTCTACCAGGCAATAAGAAGCCAATGAAGAAAAGAGATAGAGAAAGTTTTTGAAGAGGTTGCAGTTTAAGCTGAGACAGTCCCTATTTTATTTTTCTGAATATAAACCTTTAATATAAAGAATGAAATGTCATTTATATTTCAATGTGTTTTTATGGGAAGAATGGCATATTATAGTATTCCCTATTTAATCCATAACCGTCATGGAAGCTCTATTATGTGCAAGACACTAGTTAGGTGCTGAGACAGAGTCATAAGAAAACAGGTCTTTCCCTGACCTCATGGAGCTTCTATTTTAATGAAGAAACAATTGCCCAGTTTACTAACCATCTGAAAGATGGCAAGGAATTATCTAGGTGAGAATATTCTGATCAGAGTGTGGAGACATGGACTGGAGGCGGCCAAAGAGCATGCAGAAAGTAGAGTGAGAAGTCTACAGCAGCAGTAGGCAAGTGGTGATGGTGGCTTGCACTATGGTGGTCCTGGGAAAATGAAAAGCTGTGGGTGGAGTTATGAGACTAAGATAGAAGGAGGATGCAAAAACAACTGAATTTGAAGCTTGTGCAACCACTGTATGGATTTACCATATGGTGAAGGGGTGACATCAATGAGGGCACGTGCTTGAGCGCAAAGATCA